CCCCTGCATCGGCAGGCGGACTCTCAACCACTGCGCCACCAGGAAAGCCCCACTCTAACTTTTAATTACACTGTTTTATTAGTTTGTCTGGTATTAATATTATTAGTTCTTGATAATTACTTTGTTAGATCCTTCTACTTGTTCACATGTGCCTAAAGCCATTTCCCTAAATTTTCTTGTACTTGCATTCATCAAACAGGTACTGTGCTAAATGCTGGCACAAAATGTTGAGCAATGGTCCCTGCCTTCAAGGAACTTACAGTCTGGAAAAGGAGAAAGAAAAATCAAATAATCACACAAACAAATCTAAAACTGCAACCACAATGGGTAGTCTTAAGGAGACACGGTGCTATGAAAATCTTAATAGGGAATTCAATTTAGTTAAGGGAGTAGGAAAGAGCTCCATGGGAAAGAGAAGAGTAAAAGACAAGGAATTAACTAAGTATGTCTCTAATAAACCATCCTTAATTGGATTCTTTTAAGTTAACCTGAGAATCTTTGTCTTCTAATAAAGGAAATTATGCCATTTGCTTTTATTGCTATTACTGACTTGGTTTTCCTTGTCTTATGATTCGTTTCTTTTCATCCTATACCCTTTCTGGTTTATTCCCTTAGTTTTCAGTTGTTTGATGTATGAACTCTTTTCTTTGCCTTTCCATTATTCTCCAATATTCCAGCATTTTCCAATATTTTCCATTGTTCTAGACAGTATATAAGATACGTTTCTCTAATTTTTACAGTCAAGCACGAAATGATATTTTCATATCTATTACCATTGAGAAAGGTAGTTTAACTCAGTGCCTCTCAAACTTTAGCCTAAATAAGAATCATCTAGAAAGACTGTTACAACACAGACACCTGAGCCCCACCTTGGAGATTCTGATTCCACAGGTCTGGTGTGGGGCCTGAGAATTTACATTTTTAATAAGCTTTTGGGAGATGCTTATGCTGCTGGTCTGGGGACCACACTATAACCAGGACTGATTTAACCTACTTTATTGTATCCTTCACCTATTCCTTCCTTCCTGGTTTTTAACATTCATTTTTAATATTTTAGAATGATCTCTTTTTTTGCATTCAATTTTATAATCAGATTTGCAACATTTTAAACTTAAGCTTACTTCTAGTTTACCTGGCTTCAGTATTCACAAGTCCTCTTTTGCTATGAATTAATGCCTCATAATTGAGCCCTTAAATGTGTTCAACCACTCAGTTCATTGGAGTACATCTTCAAGTAAATTTTTGAAGTTGGGTATATAGGAGAAATAGCACGTTTTTGAGCCCTTGCTTTTTTTTTTTTTTACACATAAATCACAGTTTGTCTAGATATAAAATTCTTAAGTTACACCTTTTTCCCTTCAGAACTTATTCCATGATCTTTCAGCATTTAGTATTGCAGGGAAGTCCGATGCAAGTCCACCTTGAAATCATTTGTAAGTAACTTGCTTTTTTATTTCCAGGTACCTGTATAGTTTTCCCCCTTATATTTATAGTTTAAAAAGCCACTAATATCTATCTAGTTATGGGTCCTTTTTTATTGATTCTACCTGACATATAGGTCTTCCTTTAGCTGAGCAATTTTTTCTTCTATTGTATCTTTGGAGTATTGCTTCTGTCCCACCAATTATCTGGAACAGTTTCCCCATTCTCCATATTTATCATGTTTTCTGCTTATTAAGCTCATCTGTTCAAGTCTGTCCTTCACGTTATTAATTCCATTTCTGCAGATCAACTCTGCTCTTTACTATCTACAACGTAGGTTTTAAATCTGCTCGTGTATTTTCTGCTTCTCTCCAATTCTTCTCATCTCACTCCTCTCTCTTTGCTTTTTCATCTTATCTTGTTGCTTTTTCACCATACAGCTTCCTTTTTTACAGAGGTCGTGCTATGGACTGAATTGTTCCCCCCCACCCAAATTCAGATGATGATGTCCTGTCTCCCAATGCAATGCTATTTGGAGATGGAGCCTTTGGGAAGTAATTAGGTTAGATGAATTCATGAGGATGGCAGTGGGGTCCCTCATGATGGGATTAGTGCCCTTATAACAAGAGGCACCAGAGAGTTTGCTCTCTTTTTCTTCTCACCATGTGAGAGTACAGCCAGAAAGAGGGTCATTGGACCAGAACTCAATCATACTGGCACCCTGATTTTGACTTCGGCCTCCAGAACTGTGAGAAAATAAATTTCTGTTATTTAAGTCACCCAGTCTATGGTACTTTGTTATGGCAGCCTGAGTGAACTAAGACAGGTCATATTTTCTCATACTTGACTGTGGTTGCCAAACAGCATTTCCTTCTAGACTCTGTGGTAGATCATTTTCAGAGGTATACTCTTCCTCTAAGTTTCTTAAATTCCTTTCTTGTCATGTGGAATTTTCACAGTTCCCAAGTTTTCTTTTCTTTTCTTTTTTTTTTTTTACCTTTCAAGTCACTCTTCCTTATCCAGGTATAAAACTCAAGTAACCTATAAATAAATCCAGATTTACACTGTTTCAATAGACTTGAACGAATTGTCCTCAATCATCCCCCCATTATCATGGTAGACCATTACCATGGGAGTAATTCTCAGATCTGCACCCAAAGGGCACGTTGACACACAGGGCCTCTTAGACCAACTCCCTCCTTCTAGCAGGATTCCTCTGCTCTGTCCTGGCTCTGGCTTCCTCCTCCTTAAGTACTTAATTCTCCAATTTGCTCAGCTGACATGGATGTGAAAGGCATACTTCCCAGCATGCCCTGCTGCCACTGTTTCTCCTCTTCCCCTGACCTACAGAGCTCTACCTGTGGGGACTAGTCCCTCCACAGTGCACTGTACCCCTACTGGCTCCCCTTATTCTGTGCCTCATCACTATCAGGGTTCTGTGGCACTGGCCAGCTTACAAAAAGCGGCAGAAACCCAAGAAGCAGGATTCTGATCTCACAAGGCAGCTGCTGAGTGGTAACAAGGAACAGCCTCATACTCTTATAGACATCTCAGTTCCATGGCGTCAAGCTGGGGGCCAAACTCAGTCAGTTTTCTCAATGCAGTTCCCTACTCCATATAATTTGTGATAATTCCTCCTGGGTCCTAGCACTGGCTGGCTGCCAGACGTAGTTACTGATATAGAGAACAAGTTTCATCTTGCTCTGTACCTTTCTGGATAATTAATAGGTACCACTTGTTTAATGCTTTCCATGTAAATGTCAAGGACTATACTAATTCCTTTACAAATATAATCTCATCTAATCTCCATGACAATCCTGAGAGGTGAGTTTTACTGTCATTACTGTGATTAGAGAGATTATAAAACTTGCAGGATGTCACACAGGCATTAAGTATAGAGCTGGGGTTCATCTTTGGGATGGCTCTAAAGCTCTCGCTCTTGACTATCTCTCAGCAACATCGCTCATTCGTTAAGCCCTAAATACGAGCCGGGTGCTGGGCTAGACACTTGACACAGGCATCCTCCAACAGCCCTGAAGAACAGAGAGATGTTCTTATTCCCAATTTATACAAGAATCAAAGGACACTCAGTGGGGGTAAGTAGCTAGTAAATTGGTGATGTCAGCATTCAAACCTGGGCTTGTCTGATTCTATAGCCTATGTTGTCTGTATTCTATTTTGATAATTATGGTGCTACAGATGGAAGGGGTGGTGCTATGCTGGGGCTGCTGGCAGACAGCACTGAAGCGGGAGGCGGGGAGTTTCACAGATCCCAATGTCCCTGTCCTGCATTGGTCTATGAACGTCCATCATGGAACATGTCTGATTCACATCTGGGTTCTCCCACAGTCTAACTTCTGGCAGTTTTACTGTTAAGGATTTCATCATTTTCTTCACTTCAAGATTGTTATTATTTTGTTTTAAAGATTTTTTTTTTTTTTTTGATGTGGACCATTTTTAAAGTCTTTATTGAAGTTGTTACAGTATTGCTTCGGTTTTATGTTTTGGTTTTTTGGGTCTGAGGCATGTGAGATCTTAGTTCCCTGACCAGGGATCGAACCCACACCCCCTGCATTGGAAGGTGAAGTCTTAACCACTGCACCGCCAGGCAAGTCCCCACTTCAAGATTATTTTAATGTTACTGTTTATTGAACGTTTACCATTGCATATGACAAGTGCTGTCATACAGACATTATTTTTACATCATATTTACAGACATTATCACATCTCCAGTTTCCTGAGTGCTTTAAGAGGTAAAGAAAAGGAGAGAATCATCTCCTACGAGGAAGGAGGAAGAACACTCAGGGGCCCATCCAATGCCTTCCAAGGGCCGGGACCAAGTCCCGCCCTCTGAGGCTTGTCTCCGGCTTCACTGCCCCAGCTCCCTTGACTCTCCTTCCCTAAACTTCCTCATCCATTCAATCTATGTTTGTGTGTATATTTTCACAAGCTGCCTTAACCCTTATTGCAACAGGTAGAGCCAATAAAGGTCTCTTCTTGCTGGGTAGTAAGAGAGGCATGGAAAAATAGAGGAAAAAGCAAGCATGCAAATTCCTGAAGGGCTGGACCGGTCTCACTTGCGAGAACCAACCTCCACCCCGACCCAAATCCACACCCCCTGCGGCAGCCAAAATGTCTTCCTAAAACACAAATCTGATCAAGTCCCTCCTCCACTGAGTAAACTTGGCTCACTCCCCTCAGGATGAAATCTAACTGCAGCCTTCTGGTTTTCAAGGCTCTCCAAGACCTGAACTCAGAATCGATTTGCCTTTCAGTTCCTGGAACAAGTGCACCTCTGCGCCTTCATGTGGGATACAGGGGCTCGTCCCCACCCTCAGCCCCATGCAGAAGCCTCATGGATTGCCAAGGCTGGTCAGTTGCCTCCCAGCCCCACTGCTCCCTGGGCTTCTATGTTGTAACTACCTGCTTACTGACGTACCGCCCCCTCCCTGTGTGAACTACCCAGGGCAGGGCCACATCTGTCTTGCTCACTGCTGTGTTCCCACAATACTCAATACCAGTGCGTCGCAAGTAGGCATGTCAAGTGCATGGCTCCTGCTCTCAGGGGTTTACTGGGATGAGGACAGAGCGTCTGCATGTAGCTCCCCCCGGAGAGCTTCATTTGCTGATAAACCCCTTCTGACAACAGTAACGACAGTATTTTCCGAGCACCTACTATGTACCAGGCACTGTGCTAATTAATAGGTGATTTATATCCATGATCTCATTTAATCCCCCAACAAACCTGCGGGGAAGTGTCACCCTTACTCCACAGGGGAGGAGCCAAGGCTCAGGACGGCTAACACTGGGCACCAAGCCTGTGCTACCTTCACTGCCCTGATCTGGACCCTGTGCTGTCCTGCTGCTTCTCAAAAGCAAGTCCTAAGAGTGACTGACCCATTTGACAGGTGGGCAAAGTGAGGTACAAGGAGGCCAGTGCCTCGCTGGCCAGAGCTGTTGCTGCATGATTAGCAACGCTGCCCCCTTCCAGTGGTGGGCCTCGCCCTGCCGCCCTCAGCCACCCCCACCTGTCTCCCCACCCAGCCCCGGCCCCAGAGAGAGGCCTGCATACTTGGCCCGATTTTCTGGAATGGTTCCGGGGGCTCCTCCTTCACCTCGTCAGTGGCCACGACACCTTGGTCGAAGGGGTCTGTGGGAGAACACACGGCCCTTAGTGCCCTGGTAACCAGGTCTCAGAGCCCAGGATGGGACAGGGAGGTGGGCAGCCACCAAGGACTTACCTGCCCGATTCTCAGGGGCCCCTTCCACACTAAACACTGCGCCCGGGCGGGAGGCAGCAGCCGCAGAAGGAAAGAAGCAAACAGGAGCCCTGTTAGTCCCTGCCCATAGCTGCCTCTGCCCAATGCTCCCAGCCTCTGCCCCAGCAAGCTTGCCTTTGGGGCCAAGGACAGCTGCCTCAGCCACTGTGGCTGCCCAGGAAACCAAGGGCCACAGGAGGGCACATCCCACCATTCCTCGAGGGCCCACCCCCGGGCAGGAAGACGCTTTCGGGCTGGCCTGTTTCTGGATCACCGCCAGATGCTCGAGGGACCAGGGCAGGAGAAAAAAAAGGAAGAGATGGGGGCGTGGGTAAAGAAAAAGGAGGAGAGAGGAAGGGTGGACCAGAGGCGACAGGTGGTGAGGCCCGGCTGCCACAGCCTGACACGGGCTTGGGGTGTGGGGCTGCAGAGGGAACCCTCCAGAGCCTTTTCCAGTCAAAGACCCTATTTCTAGGATTCTTAAGATTCCAAAAATAAATTACCTAAATTTATCATTCTAATTTCTAACTGTATAATCTAAGATGCTAAAATATCATCATTGATTTAAAAAAATTGGTTTAATTTCACCAGAGCGTGTGAATACTCAACATGAAATCATAAAATAAATCAGTATAAAATTGCTGACATTCCACTGATTTTGACCTACATAAACGGCAATTTCACTTGGGTTACCCTCATCAGAAATACATATGGAATATGATGGGGACCTTCTCTAGCCCAGAACCCTCGGAGGTTCGTCACTCCACTCGTGGTCTGCCTGCTGCCCGACCTTCCCTGGGTAGGAAGAGGGAGGGGAAGCTGTGGGTGGGCCCTGGGCCCCATAAGCAGCCCTGGAGGGGGGTCTCTTTACGGGACTCTGCTCCTGAGCAGTGAGGGGCCTGGCTCACCATCCACTGCGTGCAGGTCTCGGTGCTCCTGGAAACAGCTGTAGTATTTGTACTTCTTCCCGCAGATGTCACACGTGTACCTGAAGTTGTCTGCGGGGGATGGAAAGATACGTGGTTACCAGGGCTTCAGTCACTTGTGGCCGGGGGAGGTGGTGTGGGCCAGACTGGGCCCAACTGGTGACTCCATGGAGAATAGTTCCTGGGGTGTCAGGAGTCTTCTGCACAAGGAGACCAGGGAGCCTTGAAGGGATTTTCAAAGGCACTTCCAATCCTACCCCATGTGAGCTGAGCCCCTAAGGACCCGGTTCATGACTTCCTTCGTTACGTGAGAATAACAATCACTGCAGCTACGGCTTCCTGGGTGTTGGCTGTACTGTTAGGGGCCAGGCCAGGAGCTTCCCCAGCATTCCCTCCATTTGGCCTTGCAATCGAGGGAGGAGGTAACAACCCATTTAACACTTGAGTCTACTGAGGAGCAGAAGGGACCTGCTGCAAGCCCCACAGCAAGGGGGGGGGCCTGGGTGAGGCCCATCATGAATGGTTCTGAATGACCCTGGCTACTGGCGTTCCCGTCCTGTGCAATGTCTCGGCTGGACCCGCTGACTCGCTTCTCACAGAGACAACTGTTAGAAGCTAGAAGTTAGAACTGTTAAGTGATGTCACAGGAAGACTACGACTTTGGCCTTGCTCACACCGTCTCGCTCTTGCTAGCTGCCCTGCTGCAGGCTGCCTCACACAGAGACCCACTTGGCAGCCTCTGGTGAACAGCCAGTGGGGAACTGAGGCCCTCAGCCCAACAGCCTGGGAAGGATGGATCCTGCTAACAAACATGGGAGTACGTACAGAGGCGGTCCCTTCCCCGGCTGAGCTGTGAGACAAGACCACAGCCCTGGCCTTGACTGCAGCCTCGTGAGAGACCCAGAGCCAGAGGACCAGGTGAAGCCACGGGGAAGTGTGTGACACAGCAATAAACAATGACAGGGCCTGTGTTTGATGACCCCCTAGGCCTCTCCAAAGTTTGAGGCTGGACTCGTGCCTTTGCCACATCGGCAGCCCCTCCAACGTTTGGACTAGCAAAGACCTGGTGTGTGTGCTCCTTGGGCTGATCTAGGGATGGCTCTTCCACCCCAGCTTCCTGAGGATGCCCAGCACAGGGAGGTTGGGTGGCTTGCTCGAGGCTGTAGAGCGGGGCAGGGAATAGCCAGGATCCAGCTACCCACTTAACTCTAAGCCACAGCTGAGTCAGGGCACATGGTCCTTCTCTGTCCGGATGAATCACTTTCCACTCCTGGGCTGGGCAACCAGCCTCCTGGCCCGGGGTACCAGCCTCCTGGCCCGTCTTTTGCTCCTTAGCACCCAAACACAGGATCTGATGTGACTGCCCCATCCCAAGGTTGCAGTACCAGGCGATTCTGTGGGAGGGTTTCTGGCCCCCGCTTAGCTGAACTCACGGACACAGATGGCATTAGCCAGCTCCCCGCCTCTGCCTCCACCTTTTCCATGGCACCTGCAGTCCCTGGATGTGCCTGGCAGATGCAGGGCCACAGAGACGACCTGGTCTCCAGGCGAGGTACACACAGACATTCTGAGGGTATGGGGATCAGGCAGGGTTCAGGCATCCACCATCCTACCAGGCCTTCCCATCTCCATGCCCCGGCCCTGACCCACCACGGAGTGGCGGGGTAGAGGTGGTGGGACGTGGGGAGGAGACTCTTGGTCCCGGCCTGCCTCACCCAGACTGCCAGCAAGTGACAACCCCACCTCGGGATTCAGCATCCCCATTTCCCCCCTAGTTTGGGGAGGGGGCGTGGTGGTAGATGAGCTGATTCCCAGGGCCTCTCGCAGGCTGGCCGTTCCAGGATTCCAAGCCTGGCACGGGCTTCAATCCTTCCCCGTGGCCAGCCACCCAACACAGGCAACAACCCACCCCATCATGTCCCATCTGGACCGTAATCCTTCTCAGAGCTGAATGCCCGGGGAACAGAGGTGAAGTCAAGCCCAACTGGGGTCTGCTGGTTCCAGATGGGATCCTGCCCCGTGAGTCCTCTCCCATACTGGTCAGCGCTGGTCAGCCCGCAGTTGCCCGCCCCATGTGTCTCATCTCTGCTCACGCTGCCTCTCCTACCAGCTGGGCCACGTACATCTGCCGCCTCCAATAAAAGGTGAACCCCCAGCTTTCTGCCACTGAGAAGTGCCCCACCCTGCTCTGTCGAATCCCATGCCACATCCTGATCTATGTCTCCTCGATGTGGACACGGCCACATGCCTGGGCCCTCCTAAGGCAGGAGCGAATTAGTACAAGAGAGTTGTCCCCAAAGGAAGAAAAAGGTAAAATGATTTTTTGGTTCTGAAACCCCATCTTCAGAACCCCACGAGAGCTCAGGGACTCCAGGAAATCTCTGGGGAGGCAGGCTCTGGAGTCAGGCTGCCCAAGTTCAAACTCAACTCCACCACTCACAGGTGCCATTAATGTTGGGCACGTGCCCTAAACTCTCTGCTCCTCGATTTTCTCAACTGTAAAACAGGAATGATATGTTCCTTCATCTCCCAGCATTGTGATAAAGAATAAATGAGCACAACACCTAACATACAATAAATACTTGGTAAATGTTACCTAATATTATTGTTAAACAAAGGCAAGAGAGCTCGATGCGGAGTTAATCTTTTATGTTTGTAGCTGAGAGATGGGTAACTGGGTATATGCCTCTATGTATGACTGTACTATTTTTCTAACAAATATATGAAAGATTCCTGGACTAGAAGGTGTGAGACTTGGTTTCTATGCCCACCTCCACCCCTAACAAGCTGCATGACTTCTCTCTAGAACTCAGTATTCTCATCTGCAAAAAGGTCAAGGCTGGACTTGACATTCTCCACAGGACTCCACGGCCAGGTCTTGTCGCAAGGCTGGGGTGTGAGAAGGCCAGGCTGTCTGAGTAGGCACTGCTGGCCCAGGGCAGGGCGGGGGGTGGGGGCAGGATGGAACACAGAGTCAAGCAGAGCACACTGGCCATGGGGAGTGAAGCAAGCGGAGAGGAAGGACTAAAAATACCCCCAGTCACGAAGTCCTCCACAACTAGTGAAACTCCGGGAACAGCGGAAGCTAGATGGAGCATAACGGATCATTGAGGGGCTGCTGGAGAGGCCAGGGGCCCAGAATAGCCAAAGAAGGAAAGATAAATAGGGAAGTTCCTTAACTGTGTGGCTGACCACAGGCAGGCGACGGGAGCCGGAAGAGAAGGGAGCTATTGAGGGAGAAGGAGCCCAGGGCCAGGCAGGGGCAGGGTGGGGCTTGGGGAGGAGGCATAGAACCCTGAATTCCTCCTGCCGAGGACCCTGGGGCAGGTGCCTGGCCAACCTGAGGCTCAGATTCTCCAGAAAACGGAGGGGTAGCCTCAGCCCTGCAGGCCTTTCATGTGGTGTAAGAATCCAAAGAGAGAGTGGGGGCGAAAGTGCCTTAGAAGAAATGCCGTTAGGACCCAATTGCAACTAAGGCCCTGCCTCCTCAAACTACTCGGTTTTGGAGTTTTAAGGGGGGTGGCTCATGTTTATTATTTTAAGAAACTTTTCATGGTGGTATACCAAACACGCAGAACAGGGGTGGCCAAACTATGGCCTGCCCACTGTCTGTTTTGATAAGGAATCCATTTCCATACCGTCTCTGGCTGTGTTCGTGCTCCATGGCAGAGCTGCGCAGCTGTGATGGAGATAACCTAGCCTGCAGAGTCTAAAATATTTTCTATCTGGTCCCCTATCAAAAAATATGCTGACCACTGATGGAGAAAAATGTGTACAAATCCTAAACGTTCAGCTCGTTACATTTTTGAAAACGGGAAACACCTGTAACCAGTGCCCAACTCAAATCACAGAACCCAGAACCCCTTCCCAAGGGTAACCACGACTCTGACTTCTTGCAGCGTGAATTAGTTTCCCCTGTTCTTGTACTTTCTATACACAGATCTTAGGGGAAGCACTCTTTGTGCCGGGCTCCTTTTGCTAACGTTCTGTTTGTGGGTAACCCACGTTGCTGTGTTTAGCTGTCAGCCTTTCCCTCTCACTGCTGTACTGTAGTCCTTTGTGGGACACACCATGACTCACTTATCTATTCAACTAGCGCTAGGCACTTGGGTGGCTTCCAGTTTGAAGCTGTTACGAATAGTGCTAAGAACACCCTAATTCACATCTTTGGGTGGATGTACGCACACACGCACCTGGGAGGGGAACTGCTGGGTTCCGGAGCTTAGGTTTGTTGTGCTGGCTGCCTACCAGCCCTGTGGGTTTAGATCTGGAGGGAAGGCAAGCAGGGGCTGCAAGTAGCCAAGCAGAACAGTATCCCCAGATGCCGAGGCCCTGTACATGCCAAGTGGTGGGATACCACACCCCAGGGTTCGTGCCCATGGGTGGATGACTCTCTGAAGTGGCATTTCCCAAACATCAGCTACGGAGCCCCTGACCCACGAGTGGGAGTCAAAAGAACATAGGAAATGGTGTATACCCTGGACCCCTCTTGGGGATACATGTGCATATTTTGCCAGTGAAGGGCCCTGAAAAGTCTACAGCAAAGAAACGTGTTCAACTTAGCAGAACTCAAGGTTTCCCCAGGTTATCTGGCCAGAGAACCCTTTACTGACAGAATGCCTGTTAACTTCCCCCAGCATGCCTATGCCACGGAGCACACTTTGGGAAAGGCTGCTCTGAGGTGCTGTGTCCAAAGCCAAAGCCTGCATCACAGCAACAGGCCTCCCAGAAGCCGCCTGGGGTGGGGGTGATGGGTTGAGAGCATCACCCCCGGCCCTGGCTCTCCCTTCCCCTCCCACCCCTGGCCCTCTCAGCCCGCACAGTCCAAGAGGAGGGAAAAATACTCACTGCCTTGGGAGGCTCCCTCCCCTGAGGTGGCTTCTGTGTCTGTGAGAGAGAGAGAAGGAGGAGGTGAGCAGAGTGGACCAATGGAAGGGCCAGCACCAAAAGAGAGAGAAGCTGGGCAGGCGGAGGCCAGGAGAAGCCGCTACCGCGTGCCCAGGGACGCTCTCTTCCCACTCAGGATGCAGGCACAAAGCCTTCCCCGTGTTCTCTGCTGTCTGTCGGGCCCTGAGCTGGTGCCCTTCCTCCCTGCCTGCCAGGGTCAGGCTCAGGGAGGGGCAGGCAACCATCCCTCCTTCAGCATCCTCATCTTCAGAGTGGAGACAGCACCCCGCCCCACTCCCTGGGCTGTCATGAGCAGCACATGAGATGACACACGAGCACCTTCCCTGCAAGGACCGCTGACAGTGAACAGCACTGAAGCACCTTGGGAGGAAGCGGGCCTGTGCAGGGCAGACAGGGGCACTGGTGGCATATCCTGCTGCACCCCACCCCACCCCCATCCCTGGGTGCTCTCCCAAGTTAAGGAGGCCTCTCCTCTCCTCTTCGGATCCCACTCCTACTGCAGAAAGAGCTCTGAGGGCCTCTGGGGTCACCCTGGAGGGGCCCAGGTGGAAAAACAGGCAGAGGATGGGGAGGTGCGGCCCCTCAGCTCTGCCCCAGGGACATGCCACTCACCTCGGTGTGCCCGTACGTGGGTCTGGAAACAGTTGTAATATTTGTACTTCTTGCCACAGATTCCACACTCATAGGAACCTAGAAAACAGGAAAGGAAAGGACTGGTCAGCCAGCATCCAACGTGCGCAACCACGAGGCCCCAGGACCCCTGGTGATGCCTCCAGGTAATGCTAACTCTGTGCCAATGGGCTATCGTGTCTCCCACGAGCAAAGAGGCAGCAAGGACCAGCAAAGACAGCACTGAGCTGGAGGTCAGGAGGCTGGGGTCTATTCCAGGTTTTTGTCTCTATTTTCTGAGTGACCTTGGGAGAGTCACTTCCCGCCTCTGGGCCTCAGCTTCCAAATCTAAGACAGAGAGGGTAACTTCTTAGGTAACTCACAGTTATTCCTTGAAAGGAAAAAGGAGATGAATGTAAAAGAATTTCAGGATAAGGAATAAATTGCATCCACGTAAGGAAACCATCACTTAGATGCAACAGAATAATTCCTAGCTACTGCTCTCCCCGCCAGGATGGACAGAGGTTAAGAGGACAGGCTTTAAACCATATATCTGGGTTCTGCCACTTACCAGCAGCATGACCTTGGTAATTTCCTTAAACACACTAAGCCTCAGTCTGCTCATCTGCAAGATGGAGCTAAAAGTACCTACCTCACAGAGTTCGCCCCACGCCCCATCAGGAAGTGCCCAGCTCTACTACAGATGTGTCTGACAAGGAGAGGGCCTCGCTTGTCTGTTGAGGTGCCGTCTTGATCCCTCAGACGTGCAGGGATCAACATGGTATGAATGTCTGACTCCAGCCCTCTGCCAGACCCTTCTCCCAGAGGCAGGTAGACTGAAATGGCTGAGTTCCCAGCAGGCATTTCAGATAAGTCAAAGGCAGGGCCCACCCATGCAGATCATAGGGCAAAGGCCCATGGCAGGAAGGCAAGCAGAGCCCATCAGACCCAGCCTGGCAGGGGCCCCAGGAGTTAGAGGCCCTGCCCATCCCTCACACAGGCCTGCCACCACCTGGGCCCAGGCCCCATCCCTAACAGAACGACCTGGGAGCTTGCACACACACAGAGTCCCTGACCCCACTCCAGGCTAACAGTACCAGAATGGCTAGGGCCAGGGGCCTAGGAATCTGCCTTCTCCCAAAGCGTCCACAGAGGATTCTGATGCCCAGCAACCAGGCGTGGGAACCACTGGTTTGAAGCCAGACAGCCCTGGGATGGAGTCTCAGCTAAACCATTTACTGTTCGGGCCTCAGTCTCCTTATCGGAAAATTGTGGATAACATAAGAGCATCTATGTGAAAACTGAATGAAGCATGAGTAGTATTCCTACCACGAGCGCGGACAGTCGGTGAGTGGGACCATCATCAACTCCCACTGTCTGCGGTCTCCGACCTCGGGCCAGAGGCCCGGCTACTGGGTGTGAATTCCAAGTATCAGGTTAAGTCAGAAGAGCACTGGGCTCGGAGCCTGACCGTGAGCTCAGCTCTGCCAGCCCCTAGCTGTTTGATCGCAGGAACATTCCTTTTCCGGTCCGAGCCTCAGCTTCCTCACCTGTAAAACAGGACTATGATACCTGCATCTCATGACCAAGATCAGGATGAATGAGCTACAACCTGTGAGTCAGCGGGCCCCCAGGTGGCAGCGCCACTTTGCTACTGTGGGTCACTCAAGGGAACGCTGTCCTCCAAACCAGCACGGAATTTAGCAGCCTGTTATTCAGTGGTTTTATATGTGTTACCCTTGTCTTACTGGGAAAAATATAAACCCACGGAGGGCAAAGATCAGAGTGTATATTTCCCTGTCTTTAGTCCCGTGACTGGCACACAGCGGGGGCTCAGTAAATTCACGGCGTCCTGCTGTTCTACTCATCTGTCACTGAGTAATAAAGACCTGGACTCCCTCCCTATGCCTCCAGCCCACACTTCAACGGCTTCTGCTAATTCTCCTTCAACCGATCGGGAATTAATTGAGCGTCTTCACATGCCCGGCACCGAGGCCCCAAACATAAGCAAGACGCGATCGCTGCCCTCCGTCTGATGGGAAGCAGACAGGCCACCAGGCGAGAGGACGTGCAGAGTGGCTGTGCTACGACGGCCAAGTGCAGGACCTGGTGGCCACAGTGCAGGACCCTGACACGGCTATAGCAAGGGGCCACAGTCAAGGGCCTTGAGCAGGAGAAGGGAAAGACGGGGGGAGGTGGAGAGGCAGGCAGCCCAGGGAAGGGGGAGTCTCTCCCCAAAGGACAGAGGCCACAGCCTGTGATGGGGAAGACTTGTTTAGACTTGACACACTTCTGATGAGGTCTCTAAGCCCCAGCTCTACCCCTCTCTGCCACTAGACCTGGGCCTCAGTTTCTCCAACTGCCCTCAGTACCCAGGGTCTTTCCTCAAACCATACAGTAAGTGTAGGCTGATGGACAGAGCCTGCAGGCTGCGATGTCCCCGACTCACCCACCCAGTTGACACTGTTTATAAGCAGGCCAGTCCCACTGGCTTCTCCCTCAATCCACAGACAGCCAACGGTACATGCAGCCTTGCTCACAGGCCTCAACCCATTCAGAGAATCACAGGGGTACAGTTCGCCAGCTTCGGGCCCTCTCCTGGCCCCAGGGCAGAGCAGACCCCTTGCTTGGCACAGAGTCTCAGGACAGAGCACTGTGTGGTGGCAGGAGGGACACCTGAGTTCAAGGCCCTGCCTGCCCCCCACTCACCCTAAGACCCCAGGCTGCAGGTGCTCTGTCTGCAGAAGGGGCTGGATGGGCAGGGAGGCTGGTGCGTGGGGAGAGTGCAACAGAGTGGCAGCCCCACAGTGCAGCGGTGTCAGCACGCCTGGGTTCAAATCCCGGGTCACCACATACCAGCCTGGGGCCCTGGACAAATCATGGAAACACCCACACCTCAGGCTTCCTCTCTGTAAAATGGACACAGTAAAATGCTACCCACCTCATTGGCGTGGGGGGGGAGGGGGGGCGAGCCATAATATGAGCAGTAATACTGTGACCACTAAGCACAGTTCCTAGTACAAGGCAAGCACTCAGTAAAGGAGAGCTGCTGTTACTGTCAGCTTTCCCCAAAGTGCTCTGGGACCCAACTTCCTGAATGCATCCCAGGGAGAGGAGCCTGTGATCAAGCAAGGGGGAGGCGCGGCCCACCCATGCACGGGAGCTGCGCCCGCTGGGAGAGGTCCTGCAGTAAAGGAACCCAGCGGACTGTTAACCCCAGGTCTCCCAACAAATTTGGCCACGTAACTCCTTTCTCCCCTTGGCTTGTTTCAGAGCTGCAGCCCACAGCAAGTGCTGCCGAAAAGGTCCCGACATTCCTGGCTTCCAGATTCCTACATGCTCTACCATCCCTCCAGCAGCACGTCTTCCAGGGTCCCGGGCAGGCTCAGATTTGCTGACCGGTGGCAGTGATGGGTGGAACAGGTGGCTCCCTGTGTCCCTGAAGAGGCTAGCAGGCCCTGTATACTCAGGGGTCTGCAGCTGACGGCTGCACTCAGCCACGCCCCCGCCCTCATGCTGGCCCCCGATCGGTCCTCCTGCCCCTCAACCATCATGTACCAGATGCGTATCTCAACGCTTGGGCCCTGAATACGGTTCGCACAGATTCACCGTGAGGGCTGCCTTTCGGCGCTCTTCCATCTGAACTAGTAAGAAATCAGAAAGGGCCCTTAAAGATGGGGCCCAGTGAGGAGGGCTCTGAGTCTAGGGCTGGCCAGTCTCCTGACCTCTCAGTGCCTCAGTCTCCCCAGCCACACACGAGAGGGTTGGACAAGACCACGCTGTCTACTTTTTCACTGAAGAGCTTGTGCTGGCTAAGGGGCAGCCACACTTCCCCAAGGGAGGCTGGGGTATGGCAGAACAGCAGCCACAGGCCCAGATTCCCCTGCAGTTTTATGTTTCCTCTGTCCTGATTCATAACATGGATGTAACATAAAGTTACCCATCCCGTGGTTATAACTTAACATTTCTCCCCGTAATCCTTCCAGCAAAATGACCCTCCAGGGAGGATGTACCCCACGTGTGCTGTGGCCTTGTGTCCCCCTGGCCCACGGCCACTGTGTACCCCAGGTTGGTGCAGTGGGCGCTGGAGGGACCTGACCGGCGGAGACTCTCGGCTCAGAAGGTCCCCCTCCCCGCTGCCTGACTCCCTGCCCCGCCTGCTTCTTCACTCCACCGCGTCCCCCGGCTACCATCCTGCCCTTCGTCTCCATCTCCCCCAGCCTACTAAGTGCAGGCGCTGCAACTCATTTCACTTGCGCCTCTCCAACGTCTCTGCACAGGCTGGCGTCTGACCCCACCGCACCCCACGGAAGCAGCAACTTGCCCACTTCACGCAGCCAGCTAGTGGGAGCGGGCTCTGGACTCGGGGGCTTCTCACGCATTGGCTCAGTTCACCTTCACAAATCCAGCACAGGAAGGTGATTATTACCCCCATTTTTCAGATGAGGGGGAACACATCGGGCCAGAGGTCACCTGATCTGTCCTGCTCCAGGGCCCACGTGTGTGACCACCACAAAGTCAGCCCCCGGGAGGACGCCAAGAAGAAAGGGCGCCTGCTAACAGCTACCAGTTACCGAGTACACCCAGGTCTCATTTCCACCCTCCATCTTCCCAGCAGCCCTCATGTGGCTGAGACAACTCAATGGCCACTTCAATCATGAACTTGAAAGTTCTAGGGGCCAGGTGGTCCAGGGCTGGGGCCACTCAGATAGTGGCTAGTGAGGAATTGGGCTCAAAGCTGGCCTTCAGGGATCCAGAGCCATCCTACTGCCACCATGCCAGGTTACCTCCGGATGCCAAGGAACCCCCTTCAGTCATGGGGCTCCCCCTAACACTGCAGGGCAGCAGAACCCCCTACCAGGTCTGGCACCACCACAGGACCCCCAGAGCGCCCTATCAAGAGCCTTGGGAGAGACTGCCTGGGATGGCTGGCAGGACACATCAGCACACAGGCACAAGCCTTTTCCTCTCCCCCACCCCGTTGCCACTAGTGACACAAGAGCATCTGTCTAGCATTTTCTGTAACCACCTGACAGAGAGCCTGGTTTAAGTTCCCTTCCCGAGAGCACTGGACAGACCAAGTGAGGCCAGGTGAGAGCAGGTGGGTGGAGTTCCCGAAGCCCCTGGAGGGAGAAGTGGGAAGACGGAGGTAGAAGAGAAAGGTGGGCGGCATATGCCTGAACTCTATCACTGGCCCCCAGAGAGCTCCAGATCAGCTCCACCACCTTTCAGGATACACAAAATGCAACAAGGCAGAAATCCAGAGCAGGTGAAGGAGAGAAGAAAAACACAAGGTTGGGGGACAGACAGATGGCTCCTTACAACAGGCAGTCCCATATTTAGCTCAAAGAGTCTCGGGAGCCGCTGTTCATAGATCACATGCTCAGGAGCACCCTGCCCCCTTGGTCCTAAGAAGCAGCAGAGCTGGCCCGGGCACGGCCTGCTGGGGGACAGGGGGCCTGGAGACGTAAGTCGTGGACAAGTAGGTTTCCTGAGGCTCTCTGGGGCTGGGACTCAGATCAAATGTCCTCAAGACCACAGTCTTCCTAGTAGAGTACAAATCCCCTGGGGATGTATGAGCACAGGGAATTTTAAGAGAATCAATTCCCAATGCATTTCTTCCTAAAACCAATGGGCCAGAGAACGTGGAGGGCAGGGAGGCCCCACTCAGCTGGTTCTCCTCACCGTCACCCTTCTCCACATGACAAACACAACGGTCCTTTCACCCACCCCTAATCTCACCGTGGTGCTGTCCAAGGAAGATGAACATCTCAAGGCTCCAGGCAAAGAGATGCTGTGTTGGACTCAGAAAGTGGGTGGATCTAATGACTGGGAATAATTTCTTTTGTAAACTGGCTGATTTCTAATTCTTTGTTTTCAACAAAATTGAAGAATCTAATGGAGTTGTCAGTGAAGAGACCATTGAAAATAATATCTGACGATAGACCCCTGTGTGAGTTTTGGCATACAAACTGGAAGGTGTTCAAAGAATTGAGGGACACTGATAAAACAAGACTGCCTCCACCCCTGGCTCCTTATTTATGCGATCAAGCCTTCTACGCACTTACACTTAAGAAAATGGAGGGCTTCCCTGGTGGCAGAGTGGTTAAGAATCCGCCTGCCAATGCAGGGGACACGGGTTCGAGCCCTGGTCTGGGAAGATCCCACACGCTGCAGAGCAACTAAGCCCGTGTGCCACAACTACTGAGCCTGCACTCTAGAGCCCGCGAGCCACCACTACTGAGCCTGCGTGCCACAACTACTGAAGCCCATGCGCCTAGAGCCCGTGCTCCGCAACAAGAGAAGCCACTGCAGTGGGAAGCCTGCACACCACAACGAAGAGTAGCCCCCGCTCGCTGCAACTAGAGAGAGCCCGCGTGCAGCAATGAAGACCCAACGCAGCCAAAAATAAATAAATTAAATATATATATTAAAAAAAAAAAAGAAAATGGAAAAAAAGGAATTAAATGAACCTTGTCTCACTCAACAACAAGAAATATTAATTCACAGAAACATGAGCCAATTGATGAAGAAATAAAGGCTCATCCATTTCATTAAGAGGTGCATTTTCAATAATTTTTTACTTTTATGTTTGCTATTTATCTAAATTTGTTTTTGACAAACTGTATGCTAACAGCAACTCCATCAGGAAAAACAAACGTTTTAAAATGTACAGCTTTATGATCCCAATGTATTTTTTAGAAATTTCTATTTCAATTTACGTACATCTTGTTGTGGGAGATGAGTGTGAAACAGTGATCAATAAAAGACTCTCAAGCATAAAAAAATATATTACATTAGGATAAAATCCTGTGAGGGAAGTGGGCTGGAAATATGAGTTCAAGGAGAAAAAGGAAAGATGTAAAACTTCTGACTGTTAAAGATGAGCCTGTTCATATGGTTTTTAAAAGGATGATGGTGGATATCAAAAGCGGTGGGGTTTGGATTCCCTTGGATACACTTAAAAGAGTGGTTCACAGTTTTATTTCCAAAATGCCACATTTTAAAAAAACAATACAACACGTCAGAAATTATATCCTTTGCAATTACTCAAACTTTGGATGAAAACGTTAGACGTCAACTCAAAAATGTGCAAGAGAATATAGTTTCTCAAAATTCTTTCAGGAGACATTGAAGAAGTTTGAAGCCATTGGCCTTTCAGCTTCCTATCATTCCAGAGGTAACCCCGGATGTGTCAACGTCCAAGGCTTTGGCTAATACCACTGGTATCTGTTTTGCATTTTCTGTCCCCCTCAAAACCACTTTTATGCCTGTTACTTCAGTCTGACCTCAACAATCCTACTGGAAAGACAGGCAGACTTTATTACACCCACTGATCAATGAAGACAGTATGGCTCAGAGAGGTTAAGGGAGCCTTAACATCCTGAGCCCCACAGCGGGGCAGACCCCAGGTCTTCTGGCTTACAGTCCAGGGGCCCTTTCCCACGGAGACCCTCCAATCAGGAACCCCACCCCACCCTGGACCACCAGATGGAGAGTCAGCAGCTGGGATAAGACGCACCTGAGAGGGAGGCCAGAACCCTCCTTTCTGAGTGGCTGCAGCAAACAGCTGAGTGTAGGTTCTGGCAGGCTCAGGCCCAAAGCCCTGCCAACACCGATTGAAACAGGAAACTATCAGCTGGCACTACAAAGCGGGACCTGGCACCTTCGCTGCCTGGGTTTATAAGAGACCGAAACCCATGTGTCTGTGTCTGAATGGCTGTCTGCTCTTCTGTTGCTCCTTCCAGAGCTGTGGCCAAGCCCCCCCCTCCTCTTT